GAAGCAACGACAAAATTAATCGTAATATCACAAAACACGCATGCTGATGACAACATCAGTGTAAAACAACCACATCTTTGAGAGAGCGGCTCCTTTCAAATAGCTAAGGGTTGACCAAGTAAGTATGAGCGCAATGAAAAAATGTGTCGGTGGTGAAAGAAAGGATAAAAGCAGGGAGCCGTTCTTATTTGAGCCTACAAAAGCCACTGGGAAGCAAAAACGTCTGGAGGGAAACAAAGAAGGCAATATAGACCATTATGACGTGACCGGTTGTAACATTGATGCATGCAACATTTAGTTTAACTAATTGTGTAGCATATATATGTATACATTATAATTAATAATCTTAGTTTTATTTTTACAAATTTAATATCTTAATGAGATAATAAGATACAAATCTTGCTTAAGGCTAAGCCTGTATGTACGATTAAATAAAGTGTTATACAACATTTCAGAGGGTTAAAAAAAACAACTCTTTTTTTTTTCTATTTTTACAACTAAACCATCAACACGTTTCAGGACCAAAGACCAAACCTTTCCATCTCATAGCGGGCACCGCAGTTAAGCAGGGAATAGTTCTAGCCTCGACGACATTCACGAACTGAGGCTTAACTTTATCTGAACTCTTGAGCCCTTAAGGGTTTTCATGACCTCCCCCATGAAACAGGTCATTGGCGGCCGCCACAGTACCAAAATAACCCACGTAAATAACTGAGCCGGAAGGCGGAAGGAATAGATACAATTTCAAGCCACCAGTAAACAGAAAATCACGATTTTTTTCAAATTTAGTGCTTGTGAAACAGTGACGTCACTGATGTAAGCAAAGCCATTTACATTTTGGTGTAAAGTGCTTGACTGAATACCAGGCCACTGGAGTGGATTAGGTTAAGTTTAATTGCACACGACTTTTTTTTTTTGGTGGGGTGGGGGGGGGTGGTGAAGACTTAGTGATACATGAGACTGTTTTGAAACCTGGACATAACGCAAAACCCATAAGCAAAGCCATTTACATTTTGGTGTAAAGTGCTTGACTGAATACCAGGCCACTGGAGTGGATTAGGTTAAGTTTAATTGCACACGACTTTTTTTTTTTTTGGTGGGGTGGGGGGGGGTGGTGAAGACTTAGTGATACATGAGACTGTTTTGAAACCTGGACATAACGCAAAACCCTTTGGGCCGAATTAAAAGTGGTGCTAATTGCAGGGATTGTCATATGTGCAGTTCAGTTAAAGGTAAAAAAAAAAAAATCATTCCGTGCCGGTGTGAGTTTGTGTATATGGCAGGGACAGCGCTATTTCAAGAATCGTTATTGCCAGGTTTCTCGGTATGAATATCAATAGTCGTAACAGTAATGCAATCATTTACCACGATCTAGGGGCATAGACATCATTTGGGTAGGGCCCTGAATGTGCAGGTTTTATTTAAATTGCTATGTGCTGTGGCGCCTCCAGTAATAAAAAAACTTAACAAGCCGACAAATATTTGGTTTATGCCCCCCCCCCCCCACCTCAACCCTGAAAAAAAACCTGAAATGAAGCCCCCAACGGCATTCTTCATAAGTGATGAGAGTTATCGCTCTATGTGTATTATGGCGGACGGTTCGTTGTCAGGAGTAGTTCCCCTTACAAGGGCCACAGAACACAATGTCAGGGTTTAGGAGTAGGTCCCCTTATGGGCCCACAGAACACAATGTCAGTGTCTAGCAGTAGGTCCCCTTATGGGGCTATAGAACACAATTTCAGGGTCTAGAAGTAGGTCCCTTATGGGGCCACTGAACACAATGTCAGGGTCTAGGAGTAGGTCCCCTTATGGGGCCACATAACACAATGTCAGGGGCTAGGAGTGGGTCCCCTTCGTAGCGCCACATAACACAATGTCAGGGTCCAGGAGTAGGTCCCCTTCGTAGCGCCACAGAGAACAATGTCAAGGTCTAGGAGTCGCGTCTTTTTCCTAGCCCCTACAAGACTGATGTTAGTAAGAAGTAAAAAATAACCATGAAACCTTTCAAAGTTCATGCTTCTTTATTTACCGGCTAAATGTCAAATACAGTACTACAATTTCATACGAAAACAAAATGACTGATGTTCCAAATAAATACAAGTGTCCTCAAAATATATACACATCTATCACAAATAAAAATATTAGCTGCCTAGTAAAAATTTAATAATAATATCAATTCTATCACAACAAATGTATTAAATTCGCGCTCACAAAATGTACACATCTTTTAGACTAATGTTTACAATCATAACTCAATGGTCAGACATGGCTTAGTTCAAATTATGATTAAATTTATGATTTTAATCATTTCGCGGTTCGAAAGTACAAAGTAATGATCAATATGATCTACGAGACGTCAGCGTAACTGGCTGGGGGCGTGAAGGCTGGTGGCGATCATCCGGGGTCACGCTTAACTACTCTGTGGGGCCAGGACTGGGCTGTAGGGCACGCGACCCTGCACAGAAGCACCCCACTGTGATGGCCCTCGTCGTCGCGGTCATCACGGCCACGCCGCCCTTGCAGGCACCCCTCTGGAAGACGGTCACCTGCTGTCGGAGTTTCACGCATCCCATGGAATTCGCCATGACGCACGTGGTACAGAGGCACTCGGCGTCCCAAAGGTACCTGGGGAAAAAAGACAAGTAAGGAAACGATTTCCTGTTAGACTGCAAGCCAAGTTGTGTCGCTTTTGTTCTTTTGCTTCTTTCTGGGTTTGTGACAAAATCTTCCGAAGGCTAATTGACCCATTTCCCGTCTACATATCGAGCTAAAACTTGATTAAGATACCTGTTGCCGATGACAACAGATTCTATCAACTTTTCAGCCTCATCACCCCTCCCCCCCCCCACTGCCCCCCTCACCCCCAAAAAGAGAAATCTTTTCTTGGTTTTTCAAGGGAAGATGAAGGAAATATAATGATACCGATTTCACGAAATAAAAAATTTCCCGATATCTGCGCTTAATGAGATTCTTAAAAAAAAATTTTTTTTTTTTTAAATCTTTCGCAAGTGAGTTTGGTGCGTAATTGTTTTTTGTTGTTTTTTTCCTGAAATTGTTCGTGAAATAAATCTGCGGTGTAAAGGCGGGTGTGTCTTTAGAATATCCATCCAATTGAGACGTGTGAAACAAATGCAAGGTTGCCAGCTTTAGAGGAGAAACAAAAAAAGGGGTGGGTAGTGGGGAGGGGGGACTAATTGTGATTCTTGTACATTTCGTTACTTCCATTCAGGTTTGTTACATTTTCAGCCCCCAACCCATTGCTTGATATGACATTTTATAAAGGATTTATATAAAAAAAACTTTAGGGGTTATTTATTTTTTGCAATTCTTCATCTTTATTGTCCTTTGTGAGTGGTGCAGGCCATCACTAAAGAGGTCTGCTGTTTTGTTTCGTCTTTTGACGAAAGGGGGCGCTACCACACATGATAATTGTCCATTATTGTTCGCTGAAGAGGGGTGGATGTCGTTATTTCAACAAGTCAATGTGGCCAGGGCCTCCGGGGCCGGAAAAATTAAATGGAAGGCTCGTTGGTCTCTAAGCAGAACAACTCTGCTACATTGTTGTTATATATTGAATAAATACAATGAAACTCATATCACACTAACGGTATGAATAAGTTAAGAAATTATTCTCAAACTTTAAATGAAGAAGGGTAAAAACTTACCCCCCCCTCCTTTTTCCCCACCACCTTGCTTATCAATTTGCCAGAAGTAACGAGGATGCCATCTCGCATTTATTGGAAAGACTTTACCCTCACCGAGAGAGCCCTACAATTATGCTAGGGTGCTTTTCACTAGACTTTTTATCAAGATTTTACACTACCTATCCACACCCTATAGTAATAATCTAACATTAAGAAATTGCGTCAGTGGGCCGTCGAGTTAATGCTCTTTATGCCCTCCCCAAAGCAACCCCCCCCCCATAGCCCGGTATCGGGCCGCGAAGTGGCACGTTGGAGATGTCTCTTTGCTAGAACAGCCCCCACCCGAGTCCGCTCGATCGGGTTCCGCTGGGGGCCCCTTATGACTTAAAGGCCTCCTTCTTTAAATATATCCTATGTTATTTTACCTCTCTTCAGGTTTTCTTCATGGGGATTTTTTTATTTCTCATTGCTTCTACCTGAACGGAATGCTCCTCCCTTCTCC